ACAGCGTTCCTGGGTCACAATGGAGCAGGGAAAACCACCACGTTGTGAGTCTTCTGGTGAACAGGCTGGGTTGCCTGCTATCCTGTCGGTTCCGGGCTGCGGTCTACTCTTTTCCACTAATTTTAGTGAAAAAAAAAAATGCCCTCTCTATTTGTGGTCCCAAGAACTTGCATAACCTACTGCACTCTTCAAAGCTAGCTCACGTATATTGTTTTATTTGATCTTCACAAAAAGCCCAAAAGGGAGGTGGAGTAACTTTATCACCCCCTTGTGTGCCAGGGAAGCGAACTTTCCAAGAGTTGAAGTGACTTTCCTGAGGCCACCGAGTTGTAATGGTTCAGTGGGGACAAGAGCCAGATCCTTCCACCACAACTGCTCTTGTGTCTTACACCCTGAGTCCACCCACCCCCACTTCCAGCCTTTCCGGAGCTACTATCATCCCTGGGGTGATGAAGTCATGGCCATTGTCATCAGTGCACAGTACTACTCACTTTTGAGGAGCATTTTTTTTTTTTAACAATTATCAGGCAGGCGTCAGCATCAGTGTGGGACTCCTGGTGAGGGCTGATAGTAGTCCTGGAGAAAGTAAAAAGGATGCAGTCTCTAGAGGGGCCTGTGGGGTAGCAGCCTGGCAACCAAAGACAAGTTCAGGGAGGAGAGGGCTCTGCATGGACTTTCAGCTCAGGAGGCTCCGCACACTCCTCTCAGGGGCCGAGCGCCACCTGCTGAGAGGAGAGCGCAGCCCACCAGGTTTCGCAGGGAGCTGCAGATACAGGCCTCTCAGGGGCTTCTTGCAGAGCCCCAGGAAGGAACACAGAGTGTACACCCTGCGTAGGAATGTTCTCCAGGGCGGCTCAGCGGGAATGGAATGTGGGGCTGGTGCCATTACATTTGGTTCTGTTTCCCTCTAGTGGTTGATCAACAGAGATTTCAACTTCTAAGTCCAAGTTCAGAGAGCCAAGATTGTATCAGAACTCGGGACAGAGCTGGGTGTGGCTGTGCTAGATCTGTTTGATTTCTCTCCTTGTTAACAAACACGGACAGAGCACAAAGTCCCATCCAGGACCCCAGGGCTCCTAAAGGCAAACACATTACCTCACTGGCTGCTGAAATGCAACTTCCCCTGGGGGTTGAAACACAACGTTTAATATTAATAATAATATTGTTTAGTTTTACCTTATGCGGGCACGGTTCTAAATGCATTACATGTATTAACTCACGTAACCTAAGGAGGAGGGAGTCATTATTTTCCCATTGTACAACACTGCTATTGGGCTTTTTATGTTTGGGATCCAAAGATGATACTGTGGGTGGTAACTCCCATGCCTGGCTTCAATCAATTAATCAGCAAGTGCACATTGAACACTCAGGTGTGCTTGGGCTTCTCACCATCAAGACCTTATCCTGGGCTCTCTGATGGTGACACCTGCTTTTCACTATCTGCAACTGCTCCCACAGCAGGCAAAGCATTGAGCCATGTACCTGAATGCCTTTTGTTGAGTCCTTCTCGCACCAGGCAATGTGATGGGAGAGTTGTGGTCACCTGTGGCTGTAAGGGAACGTTGGGAGGCTGGAACCCCCAGAGGCCCACAGCGCTTGCCTGGATGCACTAGAAAATCAGGAGGAGCAGAGTGGGAAGGCAGATGGGGGTCCTCTGCAGAGGGCCAGGATGCACACACTGATGCTGAGCCCTGCATGGGAAACTGTTGGTCCCCACAGCTAGTGGTGGTCTGGCTTTGACCCAGAGCCCCGGGCAGGAATCACTGGTGTGGGGCTGCCCTCTGAGGTGCGTTGCTAAAGGCCATCTCTCTGCCACTGACTCCTGTATTCGGCAGGTCTATCCTGACAGGTCTGTTGCCACCAACATCAGGGACTGTGCTCATTGGGGGAAAGGACATTGAAACCAGCCTGGATGCCATCCGACAGAGCCTTGGAATGTGTCCGCAACACAACATCCTGTTCCACCAGTGAGTAAAACAGGAAT